GCCATATTTTCAGCCATAGAGTTAGATGGATCTAAAGGCACTAAGTGAACCACTGGGGTGATAGGTGCATTCCTGGTTATCCATCCCGAATTCTGTGCCATCTTGTCAAGCAGACTCTGGCCTTCTCTCCATGTTTTGCTCAAAAATGCTCCACCAGCTGAAGCATCAACTATGTTCTTCACGCTATCTGACAATCCCATGTAAAACCATTGTCCCAACATCAGATCTGGGACACCATGGTGTGGACATACAACCAGCATCCCCTTAAAGCGTTCCCATGTTTCATGCAGTGTCTCCATTGGTCTCTATTTAAAACTCAAAATTTCATCAATTTGTTGAGCAGTCTTGTTGGGTGGGTTGAACTTGTTGTGGAATTTTTTGACTAACTCCTCCCAAGTTGTTATGGAATTTATGGGGAGTGAGTTTAGCCAGGTCTGGGCAGCTCCTATCACTGAGAATGGGAACAACAACAACTTGATTACTTCCTGAGTTACGTTGGGCTGCCTTTGGATTTTGCATATTGACAGGAAATTCTTCAAGTGTTGTTGAGGATCTTCGACTTGTGACCCCGAAAATAGTCCCTTGTTTTGCAACAAGTGCAGTATGTTATTCGTGATTTGGAATGATTCAGCCTGTATCTGCGGGACTACAATCGCTGTGGCCAGATTTTCAGCTGTGGGTTGTGCCCAGTCAAATAGAGCAGCCTCTGGCACTATTGGTACAGCTGGGTTTTCCTCGTGATCTCCCATGTCTGTTTCGAACTGTTCAGTTGTTTGTTGTTGTTTGTTTTTCCGGTTGGCCCGATTCAAGGCTTTGAAAACTTTCTCGGGATCTGATAATGCTTCAAATACTTCACCAGTCCTCGATGAGTTTTTAGGCATGCACCTGTGCAACCAAGTCAACAAACGTTAAAATTTCAATGTAAAAATCGGGTATAGAGAAAACTGACTACACTAAGAATTTTTGTACTTCTTTCAATTGTAATTGATAACACCGTTAATTCCCCCGCAACGGCGCCAAAATTTGATCACGCCCAACTATGCCTTATAAAAAGGACACGCGGACGTTGCAAATATAATCTGAGTATTTAGCCCAGAGTCGAACCCACAAGGAATTAACCTATCAGTTACTTTTGTTAGACTTACTAAATTCCACGGAATCAACTTCCCAAACTTTTGAATAACAATTGATGGTATTTCTACTAACTACGAATGAAAGTAAATAAGCAACTGAAAACTAACTATGATTAAGTTGTAAACAATTAAGAGAAAGTTCTAAGGTTATGATTTCCCCTATTGATGGAATCCCTTCCGGTTATGCTTCACATAGAATCATCAAATCATCTCTATCAATCATGAGCGCTCCTTTTACCATAAATCTCTCCCGAGTAATTATGATAATTTACTAGACGCTCTCTCCCGAGTTACGCTAGCTGGCTTTATTTATTACAGCTCACTATAGATTGCACCCAAGGCTTCGTTATCCCTAATCCCGCCTTTAAACCCGCAGTTATAGATCCCTCTTATATCTTGGGAGTGGTGTTGTTCAACAATTACCTAAATATGCACTCTCTCCCGAGTTATGCACACTAAATAGGCACAACTAATTGAGGATCCTGTCAATTAACTACAACAAACACGTAGTTGAACAAATAGAGATTAAACTGGCAAACTATATTAACATAATCAAGAAGTTCATCCTTCAATAGGTTCCATCAAAACCCTAGACAAAGGAATTAGCTACTCATGCTAGTGTTCATCACAATAATATTCAATTTCATCACAAATCATAAAAACAAAAGGAAGAAAGGAAAACTCGATGTTGAATTATCCTCCTTGCCTCTTGCCTCTCTTTTTCTTGCACTAAACTATGAAAACCTTGATAATGCCTCCTTGGGCGAGCTTGACCTTCTATAGGTTAAGTGAATTTACCCCCAGACTTCCAAGTTTACCCCTGAAAATTTACGTTCCGGGACTGGACTAGCGCGGCCGCGCTAGTGGGCGCGCTAATGGCCGCGCTAGTAGCCTACCATTCTGCCTCGACCATCTGGACTAGCGCGGTCGCGTTTGTGAACGCGCTAGTGGCCGCGCTAGTCCAGGCCTTTATTTCCTCGACTCTTTTTCTCGTCTTCTCGCGTACTCAGTTCCTAGGGGTTTTTCTTGCTTCAATGTAGCTCCAATCACCGCTTTAAGGCCTCATACAAGCTCTTCACTCCTGCAACGTGTGAAATTCACAATTAGAGCTCATTTTTCATCATTTAATTATATTATAGCATTGAAACATAATCAAGCTAGGGGATAAACAATCGCCAAATCACATAAATCTAGCCTATTATCATATGCCTAGCCCTAATTATTTCTTTATTTATTTTTGTATAACTATACACACCTCGAGTCGAGGTAAATGGGTGCTTAAGCACCCATTATAACATGATAGTCGGGGACATCCCTCAATCCTATTTGCATGATAGTAAGGAGATGTCCGTCTTCATTATATATTTATTTGACCCAACAAAAGAAGAAACCGGGATTACCAACAAAAAGAGTTCCATTGGTACCGGGACTGGTAAAATTTGTTGGTAATTTCATTACCTTTTTTCCCTTGAATTATTTCCAAAAGCCAACCCTGGTTTAAAAATCTTCGAGTTCAGAAACAAGATGGGTTTCTTTGGAATTTAGTTTTCCAGAGGGAATGGGTGAACGCTCAACTAATATTCATATAATTGATTAACTATAAGAGTTTAATATTAGAAAAAGGTTAAAATAGTCAGATTGTAATATTTTACATTAATAATGAACATATTAAAATAACTGTCGGAAGAAATCAAAACAAGGGAGATACACGTATTACTATATATAAACTATAAGGTAGGTTAGTGTTATAAAGTAAAACATGAGGAAAATCCTCTGAAATTATCCAAAGAGTTTACGTTATGTGAGATTTAAAATAAAACTAGTCCCCTATTTAATGAACTTACCCTCTCGAGATAAGTAAGGGAAAAAAAAAAATATCACAATTTTACCACAAAAGTTCTGTATGAAAGGTAATCAAGTTGTGTTGCACACGATAATTAGTTAGGAATGACCATTATGGTAGCACACTAATGTACGCATAAACATACGGAAATTGTATTATATTGCTTATTTTGGGATTTCTCAATGTGCATGTAACTTCTTAAATATCCAAGTTGTATACAAAGAACTAGCTTAAATATCCAACCTGTATGCAAAGAACTACTCATGACTCATGAGCTAATTCTCCATATACTATGACACAAAAGTTGAAGAATTATCCAAAAAATTAAAGAATTTAAGTTATGCATCGCCGGTGGAAGAAATTTGTATATCATTAGGTCACATTTACTAATCTTTCTTATTTTCAAGATTACAAATCCCAGATTTTCGGAAGACTTACGTGTAAATATATTTTGAATGACCTGCTTACAGTATATATAACTGAAACTCAAAATGAAATACACTATTCCAAAGCGTACTAGTGATAGTACATCCTACTCAAGAGGTAGCTTTTAACAATGAGCTAACGTGATGGGACAGTGCTTTAAGGGCGACATCAACAGCATCCCTAAATCCATATGAAGTAGAATTAGGGTGTGCATACGTTAATGTTGGGATCAATTGTATGACAGTCCTCCTCATTCTTTCTACTTCTTCCATTGGAATTTTGAGAAGCTCCTCCTCTATTGAAATGCTATGGTTTCGTTCTAAATCAATGTAAACGGAATATGTGGTAGGATCAGAAGGTAAAAACCATTGGTATTGCGAATACGCGGTATGGTTAGAAAAGAAGACCGGAATACATCCAGCGAGTATGGAATCAAAAGTTGAACGTCGAGTATATGAATCGCCCAATACTTGCAAGCAAAAATTGGACCTCATCATCACGTTAAGAACTTGTCTAGGCTTGTGACACTTACTTGGTCCCTTGCCACATTTCAAGATCAAGCATTTACTTGACTCCTCGCATTGTTTTATGACTCTGTCCCTAGTGACAACTTTTTTCTTTCCTGTCCGTGGAGCCCCAACAAACGAAAACAAATGAAGCCTATCCATATAACTCACACGATCTTGCCATTCAATCATCTCAGACAATGCAGAGGGATGGAAGTAGGAGGGGTAAGGAATGCCATGTTGATTATGGCCTTCCCATGGATGTCTTTCCACCAAAAGAAGAGACATATTTTGCACAGGGGACATGTTCAATAACATGTTTGCACCAAAATCAGGAACATCATCAGTCCTCATGAAATCCCAAGCAGTTCTTCCAAAAGCCATGAAATGGTCTCTCCCATTATTATTCTTCCACCACTTCTGCTCTTCTATATACTCCACCAATTCAACAGCCAATGCATCACGAATCGTGTAATTTGGCTCGCGGAATTTGCTCGAGGCATGGAGCCCCCCGTAGAAAGGTACATAAAATAGAGTAGCTTTCTCTGCATCCTCTGTACGACAGGGGTGGTTTTCGATTCGAGCATGAACGATTAATTCACCGATGAGTTGATGAGTGGTGTACCAACTGCTAGAGCCCATTTCAGGGAGTGGTCTTCCCATGCCATTATTTGTAACATGAGGGCACATATCTGTGTAGATATTCAAACTGCTACAATCTTCCAATAGATCAAAATTGAATTTGGAAGGCAGGTTATAAATATAGACAGAGTAATTGTCTTTGCATTCTGCTGGAGAATGAGTTGAGAGGAATACTCGGATGGGATTCGATATTCTTTTGGGTGAAAGAACTAGGAGAAAAAGAAACCAAATCATCAAGGATGTTGTAAAAAGAACAAGGATTTTCAAATGGGGTTGAATATCTTTCAGAGAAGTAAATTCTTTCTTTCTTGATCCATATTCTTCATCTTTCTCCTTTCTAAATATTTTTAAATTGTGTTTTCGCCACATGATGGAGAATTCTCGAATGATGAAGAAACAGAGTAAAAGGACAAGTGATACAAAATGAAATATATAGTCACACTGTATTAATTGTTTAATTGAGAGGAATAACTAACCATATACTATACTCCTTATTTTCATAACTTGGAATAGTTTCAATGCAATGAATTCTTTGAGTGTATCAAGCCATATCTTTTCATCTACTCCCTATATCTCAAACACACTCGTTTAAAATGAGATTGGCAAAAATGGTACTTATTAAAAGTGGTTCAGAAAATTGAAATTTTCATTATTATAGAAATCATCTATACTCGGCAAACTTTTGTTCATTAAAGTGTCCTATGCATTCACCGGATATATCTATCATTTGGTGTTCAGTCAGGGATCCTAGCATTCATTATGGCTATAATGGGTCATTAATTAGGTTCATTATTTTAAATATGAGAGAAACAGTACTGTTTCCATTTAGACTATACTAACAGCAAGTTTATGGGAGATTAAAAGTATTTTTTCTCCAAAAGTACTTTTTACAAAATTAGAGTTGTTTGGTCAAAGACGGAGAAATACTTTTGCCCAGCAGTTGAAGCAGTTTTTCTGCTTTTGGGAAGAAGTAGAAAATTCTAGCTTCTTCCAAGAAGTAAAAGCAGACAAAACTATCTTCACCATAAATTTATATTTTTCGAATTATCCCTTACTAATTTAAGCCATTTCTTTTCTTTTTTGTTTCTAGTTTCTACCATTCTTTTAAAATCTAATATGTGAAAATTACCTACAAATAGGTAATATATTTACAATTGCGTCGCATAATCTATATATTATTATAAGAAGAAGAAAAAGCCTCCACATCAAATCAAGTGATAGTTTCACAATAGGCCACTTGGCAATTTAGGACAAAGTTAGTTAGGTTAGGTAATAATTAGTTTTTTGTATTTAATTTTTTTTTTAAAAATTATGTATTATGTGCTGTTAATAATTAGTTACTCTTTCTGAATTTGAATTTAAACATACTTAACTTTTTTTAAAACAATATTTTTTTAATATTTAATTTTTATTTTATGCTCAATTCCATCATTCAAGTTTGACATTCAGAATCATCTTGTTACAACTACCATGGCTATATATAATTTCATCCGACGATATTCTTCTATCAATAAGGAATTCAACTGTTATGCTAATGAAGACATTATTGTATAGATAAAGGAAGGAGATGGACCTTCTGGTATTCCTTTATAAATACAAACCAAGTCTTCTACTAATAAGAAAGTGTTGTATGATAGTATTAGAGATGAAATTGTTGAAAAATATTATCATGTGCGAGTGATTGCTTATTATTTCATGGTAGATTATCAATATATAGTAATTTGTGGAATAGACTTCTAACTCATACTGAATGATGACAATAAGTAATTATACTAGATAAAATTATATGCTCTGGTATAACTATATATGTTATATTGATTTAAATCTTTAATATGTATGTTTACTTTGTATTTTATAATTTAATTTAATAAAATAAAAAATAATAAAGGTCTCTTACGATAAAGATTTGAGTTCATTTTTCCCTTCAAAATTATTATAAGACCTTGGTATTATTTTTTTTGGTAATTTGACACTCAAAAGCACTAAAACATTGGCCAAACACATTTTGTTTACCAAGTGTTGCAAAGAAAACTTCTTAAATGAATTGGCCAAACACAAATTATTATTTTTCAAAAGTACTTTTGGAAGAAAAAAAAACTTCTAAAAAAAGTACTTTTCAAAATAAGCAATTTTTGGCAGCTTGGCCAAACGGGCTCTAATTTATATTTTACAATTATTTATGATATAATTCTCAAATATTAGAAACTATCGCTATATATATATATATATATATAGTTAAACTAATTGCCTAAATTTTACATATTATACACTGAATATAGTTAATGTTAGATCCATGTTTCGATGATGAAAAATAACATTACTCTTATTGCAGGTATCCAAGTACAAATAATATTCCAGAAGCAAAATAAGGCGTCAAAAAAGAAAGACAATCCATAATGCTCAGAGAAGGAAGGTTCAAATAAACCAAAGATCATGCTTAATAGAAGATCATCTAAGGAAGCAATTCATAAGCCCCAAAGAAGGAAAGTCAAAATCAGCAGAAGATAATCAAGCCGAAAAATCCGCTTGGATCATCAATCAAGCTATCAAAGGAAGATCGTGTCGTGCTTGAAGATCCGCCCAGCTATCTGTAACGACCCGATATCATTTTGAGTAGTAGCTCCATTTTCTATATTTCGAGACTTTTCATAGCTCACTTTGATGAATTATTACTTGTGTGCATGATCCGTGTCGTTTTTCGAAAAGTTTATATGTGGAAATTTTGAAGAAAATGTGATTTTTGGCATTTTGACGAGGATGGTAGAGTATTGATGGGAGAGTCCCAGATTAAGCAGAGATGGCAGACGTACTTTTATGGTCTTCTGAATGAGGAGGGGGACCGGGATATAGCGCTAGGGGACTTGGGGCATTCGGAGAGTCTTCGAAATTTTAGGTATTGTAGGCGCATTAAGGTGGAGGAGGTCGTGGGGGCGTTGCGTAAGATGAGTAGGGGTAGAGCGACCGGGCCAGATGAAATTCCGGTTGAGTTTTGGAAGTGTGTGGGTAGAGCAGGATTGGAATGGTTGACTGGATTGTTCAAAGTAATTTTTAGGACGAAGAGGATGTCGGAGGAATGGAGGTCGAGTACAGTGGTACCGTTGTACAAGAACAAGGGTGATATCCAGTGTTGTAACAATTATAGGGGTATCAAGTTACTTAGCCATACCATGAAAGTCTGGGAGAGGGTGGTGGAGGTGAGGGTGAGGAAGACACATCTATATCCGACAATCAGTTTGGGTTCATGCCGGGCCGCTCCACTACGGAAGCTATTCACCTTATTAGGAGGTTGGTGGAACAGTACAGGGATAAGAAGAAGGATCTGCACATGGTGTTTATTGACTTGGAGAAAGCGTATGATAAGGTTCCTAGGGAGGTGCTCTAGAGGTGTCTTGAGGCGAAGGGCATGCCGGTAGCCTACATACGAGCGATCAAGGACATGTATGATGGAGCTAAGACTAAGGTTAGGACGCTGGGAGGCGACTCGGAGCATTTCCTGGTTGTTATGGGATTACACCAAGGCTCAGCGCTTAGCTCGTTCTTATTTGCCTTGGTGATGGATGCTTTGACACACCATATTCAAGGGGAGGTGCCATGGTGTATGTTATTTGCTGACGACATAGTTCTAATTGACGAGACGAGGGCCGGTGTTAGCGAGCGATTGGAGGTTTGGAGACAGACTCTCGAGTCTAAGGGTTTCAAATTGAGCAGGTCTAAGACAGAGTACCTGGGATGCAAGTTTAGCGCTGAGTCGAGGGATGTAGGCAGGGACGTGAGGCTTGGGCCACAGGTCATCCCCAAGAGAGATAGCTTCAAGTACCTTGGGTCGATGATCCAGGGGGATGGAGAGATCGACGAGGATGTCACTCACCGCATAGGGGTGGGCTGGATGAAATGGAGGCTTGCATCTGGAGTCTTGTGTGACAAGAAAGTGCCACTGATACTCAAAGGTAAGTTTTATAGAGCTGTAGTTAGACCGGCCATGTTGTATGGGGCAGAGTGTTGGCCGGTTAAGAACTCTCATATCCAGAGGATAAAAGTAGCAGAGATGCGGATGTTGAGGTAGATGTGCAGGCACACTAGGATAGACAAGATTAGGAATGAAGATATTCGGAAGAAGGTGGGCGTCGCCCCTGTGGATGACAAGATGCGGGAAGCGAGGCTCAGATGGTTTGGGCACGTGCAGAGGAGAAGCCTCGATGCACCGGTGAGGAGGTGTGAGAGGTTAGCCGTGGTGGGTACGGGAAGAGGTAGAGGGAGACCTAAGAAGTATTGGGGAGAGGTGATCAGGCAGGACATGGCACGACTGCACATTTCCGAGGACATGGCCCTTGATAGGAAGGCCTGGAGGTCACGCATTAGTGTTGTAGGATAGGGGTAGTAAAGCTTTCCTTACTTCATTCCGGGGGTGAGGCGGGGTTGGATTAGGGTTGGTCTTAGATGGCTTGCAGTTTAGGTTGGACCCACACTATTCTTGTTATTTGTCTTAGCCCCGGGCCTTAGATTAGGGTTACTGTTATTGCATGTCATTCATCTTTCGGTTTTTATGTTTCTGTTATTATTACGATTTTCACTGGAGTTACTAATGATTTCTCTCCTCTTATTTTTTTTCTTACTTTATTTTTGTCTTTCTGAGCCGAGGGTCTATCGGAAACAGCCTCTCTGCCCCTAACGGGGCAGGGGTAAGGTCTGCGTACACATTACCCTCCCCAGACCCCACTATGTGGGACTTTACTAGGTAGTTGTTGTTGTTGTTGTTGTGATTTTTGGCATTAAAATTGACTAGAGTTGACCACGATCAACGTTTTTGTAAATGACATCGGATCGGTGTTTTGACGGTTTCGGTAGGTTTGTATGATGTTTTGTACTTGTACGCATGCTTGGTTGGGGTCCCGGGTGACCCGAGGCCATTTCACCACATTATGTTAAAAGTTGGAAAAATGAGTTTTGAAGTTGAAAATCTTGAGTTATATTGATCCATTCTTGATATTTGATGCTATTTTGATGATTTGAGTTAGCGGGCAAGTTCGTACGATATTATTACACTTGTGTGAATGTTTGGATTGGAGCCCGGGGGGCTCGGATGAGTTTCGATGTGTTGTGAGAAGTTTTGAATTACTGATGAACTGTTGGTGTGAATTGCCTTCAAGTCTCTCATTTGCGAAGGCCAGCTCGAAATTGCGAGCCTCACTGGTATTTCACTTTTGCGAAGAAATGGCCGCATTTGCCATGTAGGGTGTATCGCATTTGTGATGAACGAGTCGCAATTGCGACTAGAGACTGGGCTAGACAGCATATCGCTTTCATGAATTGTGGGCTTTTCGCAAATGTGAGGTATATGTCGCAAATGCAACAATTGA